CTGGCGATTAATTTCGATTTGCAATTTGTTTTCGATTCACTCTGGACACATAACGCTCATTTACAATTCCGTGTCATTGGAGGCGCACGTCATGTGGGCAAAAACGGAAATATTAACCGGAATGCGCGGCGAGTGAGGGCCCGTTAGCAAAATCGAAGATAAACGGAAATTAATGAATAATTAACTTGATTACGACGCGTATTTGTGGCGTGTGTGTATTGGGTTGCGTTATTTTGCGATGCGGCTGATGGAGGGTGGATTTTGCAAATGTTGTGCTTAATGCGCTTGTAGTATTTTGATTGGGCGTATTAAATTTTGGCGCATGGTTTGATTATTTCAATACGTGATTAAATCCGTTTTAGTCGAGGGTTTGAGGAGGATTCAATTAGTAAAAAATCATTTTCGGACAAATTATTTAGTAAAATTTAAATAACTCTGTTAATAATTATTTAAATAATATGAAAATTTCACACATGTTACACAATAAAATTTTCTATCGAATAACAATTATTTTATGCAAATATTTAAATTATACAGGGAGTTATAATAAAATGAATAAATGTAATTTTTAAATTTTTAAGTTTTGAAAGTTTTTATTATTTCATTAATAATTAAAAAAGTAAGAATTTGATTGAAACAAAATTAAAGGATGTTATTAACAAATAAATTGTTAATAATTTGCTGAAAAGTATTTATTTGTAACTCTTTTAGTTCCTTAGTTATTCATTACTAAACTTTGTATTAAATTTTTTTCAAGTTTTTGCAACACATGACGCTAGATTTTTATGTTTCATTCCTTTCCTACGTGTGTTTTGTTATATTTAAACTTTGATCATAAATCGTTTTCTAATAATAAACATGAGCAAACTTTTCCCGTTTTTGTATCTCTTTTATTTTATTCGAAAAATCAATTTTTGCTAAAATAAACCGAACAAAAATCTGAAACTTGGAGTGAAAACTTTTGCCGGAAAAACTAAATACGTGAAGTATTAAGATTGCAGCATAAAATAAAATAAAGACAAGTTGGAAAAGTGTAAAACTAGAAAATTTTAAATGTACATATACATTCGACATGACTCGAAATGTTGAAATGTACGAAATGTAGCTGCATGAAATGCGCAATGCTAACGATGAAAACGGAAGTAAAAAGTACGAAAAGCAGAATAGTGCACGTACGAAATACGGAAAGAAAGGGGTTAAAGTAGAGTACAAACGCACAAGTTTCGCACAAGTTTTTTTTTGCGGCGTTTTTCTTTCGCTTCAGTTTGTGCGCAAAGTTTATTCAAGTTTGTAGCGAGTTGCCACCAAAGTTACGCGGGCGCTTCTCGGGCATTCGTTGTGCACATACATGTCTGCATAAAATAAAATCACAAAGTTATGTACTAGAAAGTTAATAAACATCTTAACAAATGTATTCATTCATAAATAAAATTTTTGACAATTTTGATAAATAATTCAGGTATTTTAATTTTTTAATTGTATTATATTTTTATTTTATGGTTTATTCCTGTATAAAATAAGATACTTGAAATTTAAAAAAGGCATGTGATAGGGAATGTAATTGTTTATACATGTACCAAATTTCATTAAATTTGTAAAAGAAATACAAAAGTTATTAACAATTTTGTGTAAGTATGTTTTTTTACATGTAAAATTAAAATAATAAAAATTAGTTTGATTAAAAATTAAAAAATTATCTATATAATAATAAAGTTGTGGCTTTTATTTACACATAATTTAATAAACAATTTAATTGTTTATAAGATACAGTTTTGTCCATGTCAATTACTCCTTTTGTTTAAAAGTTATAAGCAAAAAACTAAACAAAATCATTTTTTTTAATTGTGATGTTTACCTCAATAAAATGTTTCAAAATAATAATGCAAGATTTAGATGTTTAGATGTTGAGACTTAATTTAGGGCTATTAGAGTCAACAACGGTTCGAAATGGTTTAATATAACGTAATAAATTTGCGTGCATACATCAGAGGTGTGTGTATGCCACAAGTTGCGGTTTTCGGGCGCATCCCCGCGCATCCTGTGCGCCCGAGTATGAAAAGGTCGCGAATTAATTGCGTCACGCGGCTGAAATTATTACCGGACATTAATTACCTGCCTTTTGTGAGTTGCAGAACACTAGAGAGCAAAACCAAAACTACAACTGTGTATATAATGTGGATTATTTTTGCATTTTAGCTGGTTTTGCATTTTTTCAAAAAAAAAAATTTGGGCATTATACAAACAATTTTTTATTGCCCACCTGTAAAGTTAGTATATAATTGAGGAATAATTTATATTAGATATGTTTTGGTAGATAAATATAAAATTTCCTGTGTTTTTTGTCTGTAATATGATAAAAAATAATAAAATTGGAAAACTTTCAATATTTTGGTCAAAAAATGTATTTTTGTTCGCAAAACAAAAAAAAAGGTAAATATTTTACTTGGAAAATCAATATATCTGCCCAATTAAAAATTAATCTGTTATTTTTGATGCGGTGTAATTCAATAGCATTCGAATACCATACAAAAATCTGTTTTTTGAAAAACTGAAATTTCTCCGAAAATATTAAACCTACATCATTCACCAAAACACAGTTATAAAGAGAATTTAATTCCGCAGCTTTTCCTCAAAACAATTTTAAGTTTTTAATAATATTTTGGAAATGCCAAGCAAAAAAGCAACATTTTTCGTGTTACAAAAATTGTAAAACTTCGTTTTTTCAGAAAAAAGCTCAAAAAAGTATGTTAATTAACGAAAACTGATAACAAATGATAAGAAATAATATTAAATGATTCTGAATCCATTATTTCGTAAATAAATATTTAAAAATACATTAATTTTCAGTTATTTTGCATTAAAAATCAATTTTTTCATTTTCTTCCCAAATTTATCTCTAAATGCCGTTGAAAAATACATTTTCCTAATAAGAAAACGAACGTAAAGAGACAATTAACTGCCGAACTCTCTGCACGTACCATCCACACACCCCAAACATTCAGTTTATGCGAATTTATGCAAACAAAACGTACGCAAAATGCAACATGACAGTCGCCACATTTGCGCCGACATCGCACAGTTAAACACACTTAAACCACATGCACACCGGAATATTTGATGGAGTAAAGCTGGCGGGACTTAAACAATGACTACTGCCAACACTACCACCACTCGCAGTCTACTTCCAGTCAATATTAGTATGCGTGCGAGATGTGCGAACGCTCGAATAAACTTAATCTGTCCTCATGCAAATGATGCAAATGTCCCCCGCTCGCTCGTATGCGCGCACGACAAAAGGAAACAAGTTGCCAACTAACGTGCGACATGTTATGTGTTTATGCGCGCTCATAATGTTGCGTCGAGGATATTATTTGCGCCTCTTTGCTGCGATGCAGTGTGTGATGCAAGAGGTCGCAGATGAGGCTGAATGAAGACAAAGCGGAGACAAATATTTTATAATTATTTTCCTGCCTGGTTTTATGTGATGTGTGTGTGCGGAGGAGAGCTTTGTTTTAATATTTTAGTTTTTATGTCAATTTGCATGGTGGAAATGTTTAGTTTTGTGAATGTGACAGGGTTTTAGATGAGAAAAGTTGAGGGGGAATAGTTAAAATGTTTTGTTTTGGAAATTTATTAATTACTTGAAATGTATATGTCCATAGTGTACAAAATTTATTGGAGTGATAGTCAATTAAATTTTTTACTATTTTGTCAAAAATTTTGTTAAAATATTTTTATTAGTTTTTGAGTTATACGATATCAAAGTTGACAAATTTAAAAAATTTAATTTTAATGTTTAAACAACGATAATTCAAAAAGTTTTAAATGAAAATAAATAAATAATAATGTGAGTATATTAATAAACTTTATAAAATTGTGTGTTGAAAAAATGAAGCCTGTAGGTTGTTTATTTTAATAGTTATTAACAAAATAAACTTGTTTTGTGAATTCTCTTCAATTTAAAAAAATATGATTGACTTAGTAAATTGGTTATTACTTAAAAAGTATTTATCCGAAGTGTATAAAACTTCCAGACAATATTTACAGTTAAATTCACTATAATTTGTTATAAACATCAACAATGTAGCACTAATAGTTTCTGAGTTATTTGATGTTAAACTTGGAAAACAAAAAAAAAATTGAAATTTTTGTTACGATTCATTAATTTATTAATTACACAAAAACTACTTAATCCAATTCAACAAAAATTACAGAAATCATAACCAAATAAATTATTTATGGATCAGTAAAAACAAAATGCATCTATCTTATTCAGTTTAAAAGTTATAAGCTTTCAAACATACCTTTCACCAAAACTAAAATTAAAAACAATAAAATTTTAAAATCCTGCAAATTTTCTTCTTTATAAGTTATGTGAAGTTAGTATGTTAGGTTAGTACACATAATGAGTACTATGATTGTCCGTGGAGGATACAGACGGAAGCCTTTAGCACTCGCCCACCAGACCGTAACGCAACACGCGAGTAACTCCATGAAATCGATGCCGCCGCCAACCAAAAAAAAATCCTTTCTTTGCCTACTCCACAACCCACATTTACTTCCTCTTGCAATTTTTTGTTTTTACCTTATTTCTCTTGGTGTGAAAAATTCCTCAGCACTAACAGAAACTGTGACGTGTCACGTTCTACTCTCTTTTACAATCACTCTACCAAGTAAAACAGAGATGAAAATATCGCAACGATTATTTTGAGCATACTATCCAGACTCTATCTTTTTCCCCTCTACATTATCCTTGTTTAATGTGTAGAGCTTTTATATTTTCATCTTTGTCCTTTTTTCATTCTTTCATTCTCTCATTCGTAGGATGTCTTTGTTGTGGACTGGTTGCATTGCAGTCTGATGCATTAGATGTGAATGTGAAAGCTTTCGAGGGGCGTGCAAAACTGACGGACGTAAACGAGTCGTGCCGATGTGGGGCGAAGCGTCGCGACGCCCGCGCCAGTGGACGGGCGTGTGTAGTCGCATCCGGACGTCGGCGGCGTCGCGATCGCTTTTCGGCCTCCTTTCGCCACCCCCTTTTTACACTACGTCCTCGCAGGACTAAAACATTCGCCGGTTGAAAAAGCAAAAATTGAAAAATTTTAAAAATAAGAAAAACAATTTTAGTATTGGTAATGTTTAATATTGCGATCAGTTTTAGTTATGAATCCTTGGCGTTATTCTGGTGATGTATAGTGTGCATCGTTGTGCATCGTGAGTGACTTATTGTGAGCCGCTGAAACTGATTAATTAACTTGTTTTGAACGCTGCGCTGAGCTTGAATGTTTTTGGAATGCTTCGTCCTTGTGCATCCTGGCAGGAGTGTATAATGTGTGTTGTTAGTGCTTTCGGATAATTCACGCCCGTCCGAGCTTCCGACGGTCTTGATGATTGCTCAGTGAACATCGATTAAAGGTAATTGTGATTAACATATCGTTTATTCATGTTGTGGGAAAGATATTTGAAGTTTGAAAAAACTTAATGGAAGAGAATTTAATTGTTTATAAATGGACATGAATAGAGTTAATTTTTGGAATAAATAAGAAAAGTTAATAATAATTTTGTGAAGGAATGTTTTTAAGATGCAAAAGTTATGAGGGTAATATTTATTTGTTTAGAAAATTAGCTATAACTTTTGCACTAATTAAGATATTTAAATAATTCAATAATATCACAAAACACAATTTAATTGTTTATAAACCCAAATTTAGATAGTGTTGTTAGCTTAATTTGTTTAAAAGTTATTATCAAATAACTGAACAAAAGCAATTTTTAAAAATTTTAATTAGTATCTGGATTCAATTAAATTTATTTAATAAATGCAATAAATTACTAACACCATTCTTCACGAAGCAGAATGACAATTTAATTGGCTTTCTGTTTATGAAAGAATGATAAAATTTCAACAATAATTACCGATGTTAATAACAAAAATGTAAGAACATAATTCTGATATTGATTGCTCATTGGGCGTCAATTGAAGGTAAATCTCATTAAAACATAAATTATTCATGTCATTCTTGCCTAAATTTTAATTGCAAAAGCAGAAATTAAAGGATAATTTAATCCTTTGTCTTCACGTTTAATTTATTTCAATTTGATTCATAAACAAATAAGTTAATAATACTTTATTATGTTTTATAATAATAAAATAATTTATGTTTTGGAAGAAAATTTAAATTTTTTTACCAAATTTTAATCTTTAATTACTCAATAAATTTTTGAGGTATTTACTAATTCTTTTCACTGTATAATGAACAATTTCACTCGCTTGAAAAAAGTTTTTCAATTTTGTTATTATCATTAGTCGTTCGAGTGTTATGACTAAAAATATCCGGAAAAACAAAATGTTTCAATTTAATGTTATTTTTAATGCCAAAATCAAGGATAATGGAGGATATAAAAGGATTACATATGTAATCTTAACAAAATATAAAGATACATTAATCGGCTATAAAATCCTAAAAAAATAATTAAAAAATATTAATTTTCAAAAAAGTTACAAGCAAAATTCTAAAAATTATTTTTTTCGTCAAAAATTCAAAATTTTAATTAAATCAAATCAAAAGCACGGTACACATTTATAACATTTCATAGTCCATTTTTTCTAAATATTCCCTACGCTGCATATTATACAAAAACATAAAAAACGCAAAAAGGAAATGGAAAGTAAAAAGGACTTGTAAAGAAAAAGCTCAGCAGAAAAAAATTATGTAGCACTGTGAGAAAGGACCTCGCTGAAAATTGGAAGATTAGATTACTTCGTTCTTATTAACCTCGTTAAAAAGTCGTCCTGCTAAGTAGCAAGTAGCCAGGCACATCAGCATGCAAGTAGCAATCATCCTGCAGGAATCTTTTAAATAAATTATTACAAAAGAAGCGGAATTTTAATGTATAATTCAATTATTTTAAAAGATTATACAAAGACAGTGGTAATATTTCTTGTATTTTTGGTTTTTAAAATCGAGGAAACTCTCGGTTTTCTTTGTGACTGCATAAAAAATGTATTAAAATGCAAATGGCATCAATTAATATCATAACAACCCTTTTAAACCATTTGGAAAAGGATTTTTAGGTTGGAATTAAAAGGATCATTACAACCCCAATCACCAGGACATTCTCAACCTCACTTAATATTCCAACACGCAAAACCAACAAGTTGAGTCAATATTATTTTAATTTTTTTGAAGAAACAATCCTTTGTAAAGCCTTAAAATTAAATGTACATAAAAAATTACAAACCGGAAAACCGGAAATGTTCTTTAAATTCCTTGAAACGTTTAAATAACTAAAAATTTGAAAACCGGAAATTGAAACCGGAAAACCGGAAAAGGTTAAATTTTTAATCATATTATTATTGTTATTTGATTCTGATACTAAATAATCAATGAAAGAGTTCAAATGTCGGAAGTCAATGAAAACGGAGGGTGTAATGTACGATCGGGTTTAGCGCCGAGGGTAGGTTAGGTGGTTGCTTGTGGATGAACTCAAAGGACGATGTCACGCAATATAAGGTCATCGACTAGCCGGTAAATCATACAAAATGCATGCGAAGCAGAACGCCGCTACAGAAAACGCAAATGCCCGGGATGCGGACAAAGGGGTGGGCTGGGAAGTGCCCCGGGGAGCGCCGTGGATAATAAGGATTCTAAGGACGCTGGTATCGAGCGTCCGCACGCCATAAAATACGATATTGCAAATTTAACCTTATTTTAACCATTTCCGGATAAGGGCAATAATTAAGCCATCAAAGAACAAAAGTTTATTTTGCTAGTGGGATAACTCCCATGATTTAAATGAGAAAATAACAAAAATTATGTCGGGTTATAGGGAATTTATTGTTAATTACGTGACATTAACAAAATTTTATTTATTTATTGTAATTTTTATGTAAAATGGAAAATAGTAAAAGAAAACATAAAAATTTTTATAATTTTTTTTGATAAAATTATGTAAATGTGAATTAAAATTTTGTTCATATTAAATATGGTATTTTCAAGTTTGTCCTTGCTTAACTGAGCTTTCATATACAGCTCAAAGTTTAACTTTCTTCAAAGTCAGGCGCTGTTAATCATTAATTCCATAACTCTTGGTAATTTCAAATAATTTGCTGTTTATTTAACATTATTTCATTGCGTCAAAAAGCTCAGGACTGATATCAGCAAATAGAACTGCTGCAGTTTAATTTTTAAGTTTATTGACATAATATTCATGATAAATTATTAATTAATTTCTGGATAAATACCACTATAAATTGAGTTTAAGTAGAGAAGTTTATTTAAGTGATTGGAAAAGTTTTTAGAAACTTATACTTTATAAAATGTTAAATAACTTAAGAACTACTCGTGATATCTTAATAATTTAAAGTGCAGTTTATAACATAGTTCAATAATTATGTTTAGTGCAATTTTCATGCAATTTGTTTAATTATTTATTTAGTTATACGCAAAAATATTAACAAAATCATTTTTATTTGCGTTTTTTGCATATTTTTATTAAAACCGTGATAACTTTAACACTAAAAGCGAAATGATACTGATAATTACAATAAATGTTATATATTAAGTCCTCTATCAAATATCGTTTGAATTTCTAGATTATCTCATACCGTTTTCTTGTAATTAATAAAATAACAAAGCAAAATGTGAAACTTAAGATTACAAAATATTACATTAGGAATATTATGTGGATGCGCCGGGATACACGCTGAAGTATTAATTATTTCCATTTTCCTTAATTAAATAGTTGTCTTTTGTTTTAATATATCTTGTTCATAAGGAAAATAACTGTTTTATTATTGCATGCGCTGACTAGACGAGATTATTACGTCGACATAATTAAAACGTTCGTCGACGTCTAATTAACAATAATTTATGAATGAAATGCTAGCTAGACTCGCGTCGTCCTACCACCCCCGGTCATGAAAAACTCATCAGAACACAGAGCAAACAAACTACCTCCAACAAAATATCCAACAGATTTTTTGTTGTCACAAAATTTATTTTTGCAGATTTTAATGAAAGCTCAGGACGAAAATGTTTTATCTCATCAACCCTTTCGTCAACTATTACCTCATATTGCTATCTCAGCGTCGCAACACTTTCCCTCTCCCTGAGCACCAACCTAAAATTTCATGTACGATGTTCGTCCTGGGTTAGTCCTCGCATTTTGGTGTTTTAATTAAGCCAGATGATGGATGCGCACCCCGCTCGCCTTGCTCTCATTGCGTGTACATTACATTAACGCCCGGCTCCTGCCCCGGTGGTAGTGGCTTTATCCTGCGAGACCCTCAACACTTGCGCAAGGATTCTAATAGCATTTTCAAAGAAGAGGATTTTAAAACACGCTAGGTGCGAGGAAGCCGCGCACTGCAAAAAGCTACAAAATGCTTTTAAGCTCGAGGACGGCGCGAGATGCGAAAAAGATAGATAAGGGATGATTCTGAAGGAGAAGACATTTAAATTTTAGCACCTTGTCGTTCTTCGTTTGATGAAAGCTCCAAAAATACTTTATTTAGAGCTTGCAAAGCTTTAAAATTAAATGTATCACAAGAAAAAATAAAACCGGAAAACCGGAAAAGTTTAACAAATCTTCTGAAACACATAGATCTGAAATAAAATTAAAAACCGGAAAACCGGAAATTTGAAACCGGAAATTATATTAAATCATAATAAATTCTTTCGAAATTGATTCTGAGGTTATGATTTCCTTGTGATGGTAAAAGATGGCGAGAAAGATTGCAATATTGTCGCCGCATAAACTGCGCTAAATTTGATATTTGTGGATTGCGTCGAGGCTGGTGGTGCTCCCCTGATGCCAGACCGCACGACCGTCGACCACAATGGCGACGCGCGCGGAAACTCACCCTCACTGCGCACACCCTCCGCCTCTGCACACGCGTTAGCGCCGAGTAAAGCCAATTCGAAGGCGTCAGAGTCACACAATTGCAGCCCGCACGACAAGAATTGGAAGAAGTGTATGACCGCAAGAGCAAACGTGTCGTCAAGGATCCCTCCACTATATTTTCATCTATGTATGTGTGTGTGTGTGGATAGGGGATGTAAATGTGAATTGAAATTGGAATCGGAGAATTTTCCACCGACGAATCCGACCGAAATAAGTCCATGAACGCTTGTGTGTGTAATATTAAGGTTTGTAGGTGGTTGCCGCATCCCCAAACGCCGGAAATATTACATTTCCCACAAGGCGTCGTGGAGTTACGCGCACGTTGTGCACGTGGTTTCTTATTTTGTGACACTGTGACATCTTAGTAGTTATTGCCTTCCTGAGGCCAAGGGAATCGTCCTTTTTCGAAAGTGAGCTCTAAAGTGACAATTATTTAGTGGCAAGTACTTTCTGTCATATTTTTCATACACTTTTGGGTTGTATATGCAGGAAATCCCGGCGCCTCCACA